AGAAAAATACATTTCTCAAAGGTCAAGAGAAGTAAGGTCTTGAGGGAAATCAGGCCAAAACTCTATGATTGATGTTAAAGTAGGAATATTAGTTTGACTTAGCCAAATTGCCTGTTATACTGTTCCAATCCATCAGATCATTGCTGATGCCAATGTAACTGTTCAGAAATGGTGAAATAGGCTGCACCTAAGATAACTAAATTATAGTCCTTGCTCTACCAATAAATTGCTATGGACCATAGGCAAATAACTTTATCTCTCTAGACCTCAGTTTCCTCATATCCAAAGAGGGCAGTTGTACCTGCCTTGCCTATACTATAGGTTGTTGTGAAGTACAAAAAAGAGGTGTATGAAAGATCTTTAAAATGTGTTAAGCAATAGACAAACAATTTTCATCCTGAAATTTTAAAAAAACTTTGTTTAGCCCAGTGATGGCGAACCTTTTGAGCTCGGCGTGTCAGCATTTTGAAAAACCCTAACTTAACTCTGGTGCCGTGTCACATATAGAAATTTTTTGATATTTGCAACCATAGTAAAACAAAGACTTATATTTTTGATATTTATTTTATATATTTAAATGCCATTTAACAAAGAAAAAATCAACCAAAAAATATCATAGGTTCGCCATCACTGGTTTAGCCTAATATATGAGTTTTCCAAATTGTCAACTCCTTACATACTAAAAAAAAAAAAAGAAAAAAACATTAAAAAACTCAAAGTTTTGCTAACCAATTGAATCACTGAGGTGTGTAAGATTACACATTTCTGAATGACTTTTGCAGAGTCTTATCAGATTGCCTTCAAAATTAAAGCAGCTGTGGAAATCCCTACCCACATCCCAACCTGGTCTAGAAACCATGACAAGTTGGCTTTGGTGATTCCTATAAAATTGTTTTCAGAGACAAATAGGAAATGTAACAAAATGCTCCGATAGGCATGCTATCTGTAGAGTTAGCACCTGCTCTCTTCCCCTCCCACGCCCCAGCATCCTGTCCTGGGCCCAGATCTGCGTAGCTTTTCACTATATCTGTCAAGTAGGTGACTTCAATGCACGTGATAAACTTTGATCAGTCAAGTAAGAGGCTTCAGTTCTTAGACAAGCCTTTGTTCCACTAAAGGAAAATTATCACAAGAGCCAAAATGGGCTCGAGGACTTCTCCAAGGCCGGTTTCATACAATTACAGAATGCCAGAGCTGCAAGGACCCTGCAAAGATAAGCTGAAGGGACCACAGAGATGCAGACATGTAAGGATTTGTTCATGTGACCAAAAAAGGTTGTCCAACCTCCCTGCCTCCACTTCCGGATCTCCCACCTCCTGCAGTCTGACTTCTGCCCACAATATTCCCCTGGAATTGCTCACACCATTATTAGTTCAATAATTTTGGCCAAATTCTTTCTAGAGTTTATTTTTAGTGACCTTTTTATTAGTCTGTTGACCTATTATTCTGTTGTCATCCTTCTGAAAACTCGCCTCTTTTGCCTCTCAGAAAACTTCTTCATGGATTCCTTTATTTCTTTGTATCCTTTAAAACTTAGGTATTCCCTATCCTCATTCATCTGTTCTCACCTCTCCTCCCTTCTCCCTTTTCTCATTCTGCATATTTCCCTTGGGTGAGTCCCATCCATGTTTATAGTTCTCAATATCACCTTCATTGTGACAAATCCCAAATCTATAACTGTAGCTCTGAACTTCAGATTTTTAAGTATGGCTACCTCTGAATATTTCTACTTGGATATCTCAAAGTCACCTCACATTTGGCATGCTCAAAACTTAACTCCCCACTCCACTTCCAACCCAGACCTGTTCTCTCTCTAGTGTCTCCCTATCTCAGTGAATGGTACTACTACACCCACCTAATTGTTCAGGTCAGAATCCTGGTAGTCATCTATAATTCCTCCCTCTCTCTTGCCCAAATTACTTGCCAATCCCAGTGGTTCTTCCTCCCCAAAGCTTCTTGATTGCCACCACTTCTTTCCATTTCCCCTGTCAACATCCTAGTCCAGGCCCACATCCTCTCTCTGCTAGATTACTGGACTGTATTCTCCTAATTTATCTCCTTGTTTCCTTTCTGTCCAACTCCATCCATCCTCCACATTTCCAGCAGAATGTTAATTCTAATTCTTATAATTAACCAATCATCTAATCTAATTTGAGCCCTCAGACTCTGCACTAGACCCAGGGAAGCAGATTGACAGAGTGCTCTGACATGTTTAATATGAATGGGATTAGCTCCAGAATCACCTGCTTGTACTTCAATTCTTGAAGCCTCCCCACCCCATTCTTCTTTTGCCTGGTCCTAGGCACAATTGGCTACCTTTCCAGTTTCTAAATTTCAGTTTCTGATTCTGTATCAGATGTCCTTTGTATTAGACCTCCAATACCTGCCTCTGCCCCAGCAAGGAATGGCTTGGTCCTGGTTTTGGATCCCCTTTAAAAATCTTCAGCTGCTTAATGCATCCAGAAATGATTTTTAAACTTAGTTACGAAGAAATGTATAGATCTATAAAGTACATGAAAGTGCCTGAAGCCAAAGTAAAATATTGGCCATCTTTTTCTTAGCTCATAGAAAGAATTAAATTAATGGATTAAATTGTTTCAATTTTCAGTTTTTCTTACACAAAATTATCTGAAATGTCTGTCACCCTTTTCTACTACTGCATTTCTTGTAGCTAGTGATTGATCTAAAGCAAATTAGTATCAAGGGAAAACTAAAAACACACAATGGATTATACTTCAACAGCTTGTTTTTTATGTTAATGAATCTGCTTGTGGTTGTGATTTTATATTGATAACCTAGAACACAGTCATAGTTTCTGCTAGGAAAATTATTTCCAGTACATATAAAGAGTTAAATAGATCAGTGTTTTGTTTGTTCTACAAAGGGCCTCGCAAAGATTCTTTTCCCTGAACATGTCTGGAAAACCCTTGTGTAGAGGACAGTATCTCCATCGTTAGCACAGCACATGATCTGACCACTACCCACATTTCTGTCTTCATCTCTGCAACTCACTCATGCTCAGCCCTGGGAATCAACCATATCAAGCAAGGTTTATTTCCCAAGATGTACTGTGCTTGTTCAAGCTTTTTTTATGAGCACACTGACTCCCTCCTTTCTTATCCATTAATGTTGAAAAGGTACCCTGTCTGTAAAACATCCCCTCCCAGCTGACAAGGTGTCCTCTTCTGTGCTTAATCTATCATAGTATCATAATATCACACCATGATTGACTTGTCTGGACATTTCCATACCATTAGCTTCTAGAGGAAAGAGACAATTTTAAAAAATTTAAAATCCTTGCTTCCTGACACACTGTAAGGAATTCATAAATCCTTGCCAAATAACAAAATTTTCTTTTAAAGGGATAGAAAGGGAAGTTGTAAAACAATCTAACCTAGTAGAATAGCACTGGCTAGCCTCTCTAGTGATACAAATCAGAATATATTTAAGTTTTCCTTTATTCCTTTAATTATCTCTTTCCTCTGGCGTTAATCCCATTTGTTTATTTCGGTCCTTCCCTTTCTTGTTGATAGTTTCCCTCAAATGTGTGATGACCCGTATGAATGAAAAATGATGTTAGCTTTTATGGGTAGATGGCATGAGTTTCCTCTGTTATTGTGTTGATCTGTTTCCTCTACACACCTCTGTCCGGAATGGGAGGGCTAACTGTGGATTCTGTTTAGTTGGGTAGGGCCCGTCAACAGGCAGATTTCCTTTTATGTCATGTGGGTGGAGAGGCAGGAAGGCCAGGGACCCCCACAACTGATAAAATAAGGAGGGCTTTCCTTTGGGGGTGGAGCCCTGTAGAGGTTTCCACTCTTGACAGATACTGGTTTTCCTTTTCGTTTCTGTTGTGGAAGTTGCAGGACCCTCCTTAGAGCCCTCTCCAAGTAATTTTAGCCTGAGGGCAAAAGTAAAATATTGCTGCTGACAAAGGGTCGATGGGGGAAGGGAGAGAGTGAGAAAAGCTTCCATCTGTCCCAGGTTTTTCACCAGAGCTCTGTAAAAAGAGTTACCATAATGATTGCCTCTCAGCCTACCTCTGCTCTTTGCATTTGTTGACTCTGAGATTGGTGCCTCTTTGGGAAAACCCACTCTTACCTCTGTTTTCTTGAGTTGCCATATTTTCTGCTCTGATTTCTCTGTTGGTCAAAATTTATTGGCTTTCTTGCTCTGCCATATTCCTCAAAATTTATTTCACATTGATGTCGCCTTTTTGGTTTCCCATGGTGGTTGTAGTTTCATTATTTTTACATTTACTTTTGACTAAGTAATACATTCACATAGTTTAAAATGTAAGTGGTACAGCCCTAACCAGTTTGGCTCAGTGGATAGAGTGACGGCCTGTGAACTGAAGGGTCCCAGGTTCAATTCTGGTCAAGGGCATGTACCTTGGTTGCAGGCACATCTGATCGATGTTTCTAACTCTCTATCCCTCTCCCTTCCTGTCTGTAAAAAAAAAAAAAAATCAATAAACTGTATTTTTTAAAAAATGTCAGCGGTACAAAAGATTGTTCAATGTACAGTCTTCATTCCACCTCTTCCTCCCAGTCCTCCATTGTCAACCAATGTTGTCAGTTTTATGTATCTCTCAGAGATGCTTTTATGTGCATTCAAGAAAATACATAAATATTCTCTTTTATCCTTTTTTACACATAGCAGTATACAATACACTGTTCTACATGTTTGTTTTTTCATTTAACAATATATGTTGGAAGTTTTTCCATGTCAGCAAAGTTCTTTATTCTTTTTAACAACTGCATAGTGTTCCATTGTATGAAAAGCATAATGTAATTTACTTACCTAGTCCTGTATTGATGAACATTTGGATTGTTTCCATTCATATGATATTAAACAACACTTCAACAAATAGCCCTATACTTATTCATTTTTAAAGTTTCTTTTCAGACATTTCCATTGGATCTGGAAGCTAAAAATCACAGTTTTTTAACATTGCCCAATCAAAATGTTAACCTAAACACATCACACTCAAAGGAAGATATTTTAAAAGTTGTTTTTTATTTTCCATTAGTTGGATCAATGCATAGTAAATCATTTGTTATACATCCTCTTCAGAGCTAGGCATTGCATTTCAAAGCTTCCAGTGCCAAGTCTTATCTGGCCTTGAGGATTTTGGTTACACCATGTGGGATTCTCCATGTGGGTCTGCAGCACAAAGCCAGAGATGTGATCTCTGATGCCTCCATCCAGGATGCTGTACTTGTTGGCTAGATTGTTAAGAAGCAATTTCAGTAAATATTTCTTTCAATCCGTTCACTTGTTCAAATCAACATTCACTGTGTGCCTACTGTGAGATGGATGCTGAGCTGGATGCTGGGGATACAAAGATAAAAATGATAGTTCCTACTTTGACAGAAGCTTCCAGTTTAGAGAAGCCAACCAATACATGAGCAGACAGCCATAAAACAATGTGTAAGGTGACTCAGTGGAGGTGAACCCAGAATGCTATGGGGCCAGGAAAGAGGAGTACCTACACAGAAAGACTCCTTAGAAGAGATGCCTGTCATAACTTTGTATCCTGACTTCTAGCACTCTATTGACAAATCCCAAAATTCAGTGTCCATCTACTGTCCTTGGCTTTTCTACTCTGAAATCTTCCACCCCTTTCTAATTCTGCAGCAATCTTCTAGTTGGCTATATTTACTATGGCACTTCAAAGACTTAGGAGGAGTAAAATAGGAGGGGATTGGAGATCATTATTTCCAGCATGGATGACTGTGGTCAGGGTTTGGAGTGTTAGCCTAGTTTCAGGTATTAGCTTTTAAATAAACTTTTAATTAAAATATATTTGGCATACCATATTATATGAGTTTTAGGTGTATGATATAGTGATTCAACATTTATACACCTAATGTGATCACCATGATAAGTCTAGTAACTGTCTCCATGTAAAGATATGATATTATTGACTGTGTTCCCTGTGCTGTACACCACATCCTAGTGGCTTATTTATTTTTATAAATGGAAGTGTATACTTCTTATTCCTTTTGACTTTTTCCACCCATCACCCACCCCCTTCCTTTCTGGCAACCAACAATTTGCTCTCTACTATGAATTTATTTCTGTTTTGCTTTGTTTGTTCTTTTTTTAGTTGTTTTTTTTTTTAGATTCCACAAAAAGTGAAATCATACCAAATTTGTCTCTCTGTCTGACATTTCATTTATCATAATACCCTCTAGGTCAGTGGTTCTCAACCTTCCTAATGCCGTGACCCTTTAATACAGTTCCTCATGTTGTGGTGACCCCCAACCATAAAATTATTTTCGTTGCTTGCTACTGTTATGAATCGTAATGTAAATATCTGATATGCAGGATGTATTTTCATTGTTACAAATTGAACATAATTAAAGCATAGTGATTAATCACAAAAACAATATGTAATTATATATGTGTTTTCCGATGGTCTTAGGCAACCCCTGTGAAAGGGTCGTTCGACCCCCAAAGGGGTCGGGACCCACAGGTTGAGAACCGCTGCTCTAGGTCCATTCATGTTGTCTCAAATAGCAAGATTTCATTTTTTTTATGTATATATCACATGTTCTTTATCCATTCATCTATTGGTGGAGACCTTAGTTGTTTTCATATCTTGACTATCCTATATAATAAAGAGGTAATATGCAAATTAACCCTCATGCCCTCACAAGATGGCTACCTACGACCAGGCCGGCAGGGGGGTTAGTGAGGGACGACCAAACGACTGA